TGCTTTCCTCGGTTCTAGGGCACCGCTTGCTGGTAACGAAGTGTGCGGTGAATACCTGCACGAACTGGGTTGAGCTTCTTATGGACCCGGGGGCCAAGTTTCTGTACCAAGCACGACTCACTGGCCCTTGCCAGGTGCATTTGGGATTGGAAAGCGTCAACGTGGTCGCTGGGGTCGAAGGACCCGTCATACTTGTCTAAAGGAGGGAGTTTGAAGTCTCTGGGCATGGGGACTGCAAGGAGTTCTGATGAGAGGGGGGAAGGAACCGAGAGAACAGGGATAGCTTTTACCTCATCTGGGCTTCTCTCTTCTTTACCTCGGAGCTCGGGCAGGACGTGGGTGGCAGTTCGGCGACTTCGCTGACGCCTCCGTTGGGTAGGCCTGGTACTGGCGCTGCTGGCCTCCGTGTTGCCGAGCTCGATGGGCCCAAAATGCTGGCAGTCTGCCGCTAAGGCACTGAATCGGTTCTCTGAGAGTGGGAACTCGGGCTTCGAGTTTCGAGGTGGGGGCGATTCTTTCCCTTCGGCCCGGGGACGAGGCCTGGCTGTTAGGGGGGTTCTGGAATCGAGAGGCGGCTCGGTGACGGCATCCATCCTGAGGGGAAGCCTTGACCGGCCTTGAGGCGGGGTGCCGAGGTGGGAGCTGCGGTTGGTTGATGGGCAGTTGGGGGAACTGCTGCTGGTAGTGATATTGGGAGAGGTGGTGCAGTACTTGGTGCTGCTGGAGCTGATGCTGCTGAAACTGCTGCATTTGGGCTTGCATTGCCCACATGCACTGCATCAGGTCGTCGAACTGGCTTCGGCTGGTCGCCAGGGGAATAGCGGTTGGTTCAGTGAATGTTGCTTCGACAGGGACTGGAGAGGGGACACCCATGGGAAGGTTTATGGGTGCCACTGCTCGCGGCGCACTCATGCTGGGGATCCCGTCCACCGAAAGGGGAATGGTGAACTGTCCGATGCACACCACGGGGACTTGAGGTTGTTCCCCAGTGATGTTCATCTCCGTGCTACGTCTTGCACTACCGGAAGAAGCCATGAGTGTTGGGGTTTTTTGGAGAAAAAGAGGTTATGAGAGTTTTAGAGGGAGGCTTTTGGAAGCGTTTCCCACAGACGGCGCCAATTGATGATGCACTATCTGGCCAGTCTTAGCTGTCAACGATCTTGCCTCTGACTCGAGTAGCGGGGCACCTGAAACGGAGGAGATGGAAGAATCTCCGGGGAGAACCCGGTGTAAAGGCTCCGAAGCTCAAGTTAGAATCCTTCAAAGGCAAGATAAACCAGATAGCGCAAAGTTAGCATACCTCATTCTTGGGGGGTAGGGAGCCTTTTATAACCACCTCGCGCACTCATTTCCAGGCTCCTGTCAGTTCGGGCATGATTATCTCTGAACTCCTGCCAGTTCGGACGTCATCCCATCTGGCAGGGTAGAGCCGCCACTGCTCCTTTTGTCAGAGCCGTCTCTGTGGCTGGTGACGATGGTGGCAGGTGGCGGTGGCAGGAGATCGTTTGAAGTGCGGCTGTCAAGCGTCAAATCCCGAATCAGTTAGGTGCGCCGCCCTTGGATACGGACATCTTCAGTGTCAGGTACGTTCGGTTAGTCTGGTGTTTCGGAGGCGGAGTGCTGGAGTGGCGAGCGAGATGGTTTTGAGTTCGGTTTGGGGAGTGTTCCGAGCTACCATGGGCCAGCTCGGGTCACGGCCTTTTGAGGCTTGGGCCTGAGAGCGTTTGGGCTCCTTGTAGGGAGCTCGGGTTCTTAGTAGGGAGCTCGGGCTTCCAGTAGTGACCTCGGGCTCTTAGTAGGGAACTCGGGCTCCTAGTAGGGAGCTCGGTCTTCCAATAATGACCTCGGTCTTCCAGTAGTGACCTCGGGCTCCTAGTGGGGAGTTCGGTCTTCCAGTAATGACCTCGGGCTCTTAGTAGGGAGCTCGGGCGCCTAGTAGGGAGCTCGGTCTTCCAGTAATGACCTCGGTCTTCCAGTAGTGACATC